AATCTTTACTATTAGCATTATTCTTGTAAAATACCAAACAATAAACTTAAAAAGTAGGTACTCACTATTTACTAGAGAAAAAAATTGAAAAAGAGTTGAGAACATCATATGTTAAATACAATTCTCCGTACGCATTTTAGTTTCATATTGCTATACGAATTTGGTAAATTAGGTACTAAACAATATAGTACAAGTACAGTCGTACTTATATGTTTGATTTTTTTTTTTCATAATCATTACACATTAGTCACATAATCATAACACTTTATTAATATCTTCTTCATATATAGCTAATAATATTTCCATTTGTTAATAGCACATATCCTTGTTTATTCCTTTCCCTCAACTCTGCTATTCAATAAGCAAGCGTGTACAAACTCGCATGAACACCACGAGAACGCTTAGGAATGTGTCGTGTCGTCTATTGCGTACACAGTATTCAAATTGAGGCCAATCGAAAAAAATATTGACTGCGTTTCTTTCTGTCGTTTCTTGGTTCAATTTACTATTAATATGAGATTTCGAATGYATATCGTATTATGAAAAGAACATATCTGTATGTTTTCTTACATTGTAAGTATAATTGTAATCAAAAATTCTGTAGATACACAATTCGTTGGGATGCTCAACTAATAATTTACCTAATTTGAATTATTAAGCTGTGGTTGTTTCAAAATTTGTTRGAATGTTTTCCAAATTACACTRTCTTTGATTCATTATGTGAATAAAACTAGGTTTGTTTTTTAAGGAAATTTTAAAATTAACTATACGTGATGTGCGATGTCATTAACTGCAGTTTATAGTTTCATAAATGATCGTTATCGATAACTTGTAAATTTAATAATAGTCTGGCACGAAACCTCTGGTTACATTTAATTAACCTCAGTCATATGTTTTAAAAACAAACGATTTTTGAACAAATATCATGCCATTATTAAATGTATTGACTTTTAACAATTAATTTGCGAGGAATTGCTTTAAAATTCTATCGTTTACTAATTGCAATTATTATATTA